CGACTATGGTGTACAGAGGTTGGGCTGCACCCCTAGATTGCTGTGTCCGATTCTAGAGGGATTCCCTCCCCCCCAGCAATGGCTGCAGGAGACCATCCGATTCCAAAGGGTGAGATGAAGGTGTGGACGGGCTCTGTCCTGTCCAAAGCCTGCTCCTAGGGGCCGAGCGTGTAAGGGGCCGTGAAATGCAGAGACAGGACGGGGCCATTGGCCATTAGGGTTTCACGTTGTCACCCTGGTGTCACACGGGGACTGGGGGCGGCGTTTGGATTCAGGCAAACGCCCCCATTAGTTTCCAGCGGGCATTTGTCCGAATGAGGACAGGATACGGTCTACAGAAAAAGTGCTCACAGCTAGAGTAGGGAGCCAGAAGGGCTGTGGGCTAGATTTTGACCGTTTTACTCAGGCCAGGGCTATGCTCAGAAGTTGGTCGACCCAACGACGTCAGTCCAGGGTGTGAAAACTCCGCATCCCGGAGAGATGTAGCTAAACCCAGCTAACCCCCAGTGTACACAGCACTAGGTCGATGGAAGAATTACTCCGTAAGACCTAGCTACCGCCTCCTTGGGAGGTGCATTACCTTCGCCCACCCGGAGTAGGTTGCGTCTACACTGAAGCACTGCACCAATGCCGGTGCAGATTCTAAGCAGCCATCTTGCCCCAGCGCCCTTTCCCTTTGCCACCCCGCCTCCAGCCCCTTCCTCAGCCCCCCCAGATGCGGCGCCCACCCAGGAGCCGCTTGGCCAGGGCCCCCTTGACATCGGCGTTGCGCAGGCTGTAGATGGCAGGGTTGAGGGTGGGGATAACGACGGTATAGAAGGCAGCGGCCATCTTGTCGGCCTGCGCGGCGTAGCTGCCTTCGGGCCGCAGGTACATGAAGATGATGGTCCCGTAGAGCACGGCCACAGCTGCCAGGTGGGAGCCGCAGGTGGAGGCAGCCCGGCGCAAGCCCGCCCGCCCCACGGCCCCGAGGATGAGCCCGTAGGAGGCCAGGATGGCCAGCAGGGTGACGCTCTGGATGGCTCCGCAGATGGCCAGCAGCAGGGCCTGGTTGAGGCTGGTGTCGGCGCAGGCCAGCTCCAGCACGGACGGGATGATGCAGAAGAAGTGGTCAAGGGTGCGGCCGCGGCAGAAGGGAAGGCGGAAGGCCAGGCCGGAGTGCACGGCCGCACTGGCCGCCCCGGCCGCGTAGGAACCCAGCACCAGCCCGCGGCAGAGGCAGGGCGGCACGGCGGCCTGGTAGTGCAGCGGGCGGCAGACGGCGGCGTAGCGGTCGTAGGCCATGACGGCCAGCAGGCAACACTCGGCGTCCCCCGCGGTGGCGAAGAGGAACATCTGGAGGGCGCAGGCCGGGCCGGGGAGGGCG